TACTAGATAACCAGGGACAGACCCTAAGCCCTCGAACCTGCTGAAATTATTCAAACTAGCCAATCCTAAGCCTGCTTACCTGGACTTACTCAGTCCTTCCCACAGAAACCACAGTAAAGGCTTTTTGCCTGCAATTTCCCCCATTCCTCCAGAGTGATCCTAATGCTTCCTTGTGTGTCCCCCCCAGCCCATGGCATGGTGGGCCCTTGCCTCTTGGGAACTGTGAGCAACAAACTATCTTGTTAATGGTAATCACCTGATGTGTAGGCCTTATTAGACCTCAAATTTTCTATTAATAAGGTATATTTTTAAAACACCATTAGCTAAGAATGGCTATTACATTCTTAAACGGTTGAAAAAAATCAAAAGAAGAATATTTTGATACCTGAATATATATGAAATTCAAATTTTATTGGAATCCAGTCATATTCATTTACATACTCTCTGTGGCTGTTTTTTCCCCTTCCATAGCAGAGTTGAGTAGTTATGACAGACACCTTATAGCCCACAAAACCTAAAATATTTACTATCTTCACAGACATAGCTTGTTGACCTCCATAACATGATCCATAGTTATTTTATTTGCTCATTTAAACTATGAACTTGTATCAATTGACCCATTGCTCTCTGTATGATGTAGATCCCCTCATAGTTTGAAAGATTCAGAATCTCTGGCTATTGCTTTCTTCCTAGGGTCTACCCCAAAATGTCTGAGCCTCCAATGTTTGATTTTTTTTTAAATTATCCTCAAGAAGAACATTTTATTGTGACTCAGAACATCCAAATAGATAATAGAAACAAATTTCATGAGGCATTATTCATCCTTATAATGTCTGGATCACTTTGATGGTTTCTCTTCTTTTCTCCATTTTAAAAATATACTGCTCACAATCTACTGTTTTCAAAACCCACTCATGAGTCAATGTGCACACTTTAATTAACATCATGAATCTAACTGAGTCGAATCCAAACACCACAAAGTGTTTCTCTTATACACACTGTGTAGAGGAAGACAAATATAGAAACAAATAATAGCAATAAAGCACAAAAAACATAACACAAGTTTAAAAGAATGCTCTAAAAGCAAAGAGGAAAAAGAGCTAATTTTTTTTTTCTTAGAGCTTGTACAGGGTTTCATAGGGCAAGTAAGATTTGAATTTAGTCTAGAAGGAAGGTCAGGAAATCCTTGGTAGAGAAGAAAGAGAAAGGCTTCTGTGGTGCCCTGGGGGATTCTCTACGTGGTACTGAAGCAGAATGTGGGCGTGGATGTGTGATACTTTCAGTGCAGTCAACCCCCATGCCCCGTCTCTCCTGCTGCTCATAGTTTTAAACTGAGTGTGTTGTTTCCTTCCACAACTATAATTCTTCTTCCAGACCTCATTCAGAAAACAATGGAGTCATGTGACCATCTCATGATGGAATAAGCATAAATGTTTCCAGGAGTCTCCCGGTAGGTTAGCATGACGGTGAAGCATTGATAAGAAAACAAGACCTATGAAGGAGGAGTGTTAGTCTTCAGATTCATATACAAGAGATATAGCTTCATGTAGCTTTAACTCAGTTTCTTTTTGGAGCCCCCCTCCACCAGCAGCGCTGCTGATCCATAGGAAGAGCAGAAATTTAATCCCAATATATTCCAGTCCATCCCTGCCCCTCCTCACTGGGGTCTGCCTTCTCTTGGCAGGTGTAGAGAATTAACCATCGATTCCACCCCCTCCGCCCAGGAATCCCTGCCTGCTCAGTGGCCACAGGTCCCCTAAGATCTCTCTGGAGTCTTATCACGCTTTACTCCCCCCACTCACCCAAGAACTCTGCCCAGATAACGTCATGCACGAGCCCTCTCTTCAGGACCCATGGATCCTCTGGGCCTCAGGCCTCGGGAACCACTGGGAGGCTATGGCCATTCCTTTCTGGAAATTTCTTAACTCTTCAGACTCCAACACCAGACTTCCTCCTAGCTCCCCCTCCACCCCCACCCAAGGGAACTCTTCATTCTGCTTTTAGACTCTGTTGTGATACTGAGATACCCTCAGAGGAATCTCACTTAATCTCCTTGGTGAGCTTGGGAGTTAGCCAGAGACTGGCACGCTGTTTTCCACTAATGTGCTCGCCCCTGAGACAATCAACTTAAACTGGCCCAACTTCTTGGTCCGAGGTGGTTGGGGGTACGATTCAGAAAATTTAAAAAGGAAATATGCAAGAGGGAAAAAATATCTCAAAATATGATTCGAATAGTTATGTTTATTTGTATTTCCGCAGAAGTGGACCTTATCTCTAGTTCAGATCATCTCACTGTTGCTGAGACTAATATCAACCGCCAACTCGCTACCTCCACTTGAATGTCTAAGAAACACAATGAGACTGTGTACTTTGTGCTGTTCTGATCATGAAGAATCTCCACAGACACCGAACCCCTGCCACAAAGGAGGATTAGAAATAACCTAAAATCTACACGTAAGCCATACCCAGTTTTCTCTAGTGGAGGTAACATCGACTTTCTAGTATTTCCTCCCCACAGAGAGGAGGAGCCCCCCAGCAGCTGGGAAGCTGGTTCTGGTGTGATGAGCTGCTGCCGAGTTAGGGCTCTGGTAGCAGTTGGATGATAATGGCTTCTGGCTGGTACTTGGGTGGTATTATGCTAAGTAGGTACTTTATGACTTAAAGTTTCTTTAAGAAATAACTGAGTCAAAGAGCGCCTGGGTGGCTCAATCAGTTAAACGTCTGCCTTCGGCTCAGGTCCTGATCCCAGTGTCCTGGGATCAAGTCCTGCATCGGGCTCCCTACTCGGGGGCGGGGGGGAGCCTGCTTCTCCCTCTCCCGCTCCCCCTGCTTGTGCTCGCTCTCTCTCTGTCAAGTAAATAAATAAAATCTTAAAAAAAATTGCAGAATGCAGTTGTAATAAATATATTTTTCTAAATGGTGTTGGGGATGCAGAGTGGGAGAAATCTCCCCATCAACAACATAGGAATAGACTTTCTAGTCCCAACAGAGGCAAATGGCAGATGCTTAGGACTACACCTTCAGGCACCATGTATGTAGTATGTTATCAGAGAAGTGTATCTGATCAGTGTGGGGCATCAGAAACCCCAAGAATGGGCTGCCACGCTGGCTGTCCGCTGAGTGTGGAGTTGGCCAGTGGTGCCCCCTGGTGGGGCTAGTGATTGCAGTTGCTGGTTGTTCTTTTGCGTGAGGAAGGAGGAGGGCAGGAACCCAAGCTGATGGATTCCGTTCCTACAGAATTGCTTGCATTTTGCTCTTCATTCTCTTGGTTTGTTCCCTTCCCTTTTCATTAAAGGAAAAACGTAATATCTGGTATATTCCTTTATTCCAATTTTCTTAGGGCAGTACTAAGGGTGTATTTTGTAGCAAAATTCTCAAAAATGTAAATTAAAGGTTTAATTCCTTCACGACTTCTCATGCTATACCAAAAATTTGCTTTATCAGGCAAGACATTGCTTTTCTGCTTATTTTTATATAACAAGGTATTGATACAGTTTTGTTTTTGAACTTATATCTTCTCACTGAATGTCCACGTGAGCACATATGTATGTAATTATTTTTCTAATCTATGTATATAGTATCTTAAGATAGAACAAACCATAGTATATTTAGCCATTGATGTGCCGTATTATATTTGGCCATCAGGTTTCTTTCAATTCGTTGCTGACAAGCAGCACTGCAATAAACATTCTTGTATGTTGTGCATATTTGTGACTTTTTGGGGGGAGTACATAAGAAGTGAAATTATTGAGTCAAAGAATATGTATACTTTAAGTTCTGAGATACTGCCAACTTTCCTTTCAATTCAGACTGAAATTGTATACCGTTAGCAGTGTGTGGGTTAATATCTTGTCTTCACTCCTGTTCTCTCTTTCAATCCAGAGAGGAAAGAATCTTTTTTTTTTTTTTTAAAGATTCACGCCCAATGTAGGCTTGAATTCACTTTCCTGAGATCAAGAGTCACATGCTCTACCAACTGAGCCAGCCAGGCAACCCAAGAGAGGAAATAATCTTACTGTTGCTCTCATTTTAATTCCCCTGATTACTAACTAGATGAAAATTGTTTTCATGTTTCACAGTCATTCATGTTATTTTCTGCCGTGAATGCCTATTAATGTGTTTCATATAGTTCAATATTCAATTGCATGTTTTTCTTTTTCATATTTAGTTCTTTATATATTCTGGGTATTAGTCCTACTCAGTCTTTAATTTTGTTTATGGCATCTCGTGTTCTTCAGAAGTTATCAATATAGGTTTCTCGACCTTTTTCAAGCTTTTTTCATTTTTGTTATGAGGATTTTAAATAACTTTTATACATAATACCTTAATACTTTTAAATACCATATATATAAATACTATATATACATATATACATATACATATATATATATATATATAGCTGGACATCTGTACCTTTTGACCCCCTTCACCCATTCTGCCACCCCTACTTGGCTAGAGAAAGGCAGAGGGAGAGCATGAGGATGGCACCCCCCCAAGTGTCTGGCCCAGGAGAGTGTTCCAGCAGGCTCTTCGGTGTGTGTGTTAGATTAAATGTCTGTACTCGGACTGAGACTTTAATATAAGCCAGTGGGCCGCTTTCACTTAAAGTCTGGGCACTATCATTGCCTCTGCCCTGGGCGCCAGGGTGGTGAGTCTCAGCCTACGGGCCATTTAAGAGCCGAGCATCAGATCTCTAATCTTGCGCCTCCCAGGCACACAAGCTCTGTTGGTTTCAAAGCTAGATGTCTGAGGGCTCATCTCTCAGATGCAGGTCTTGATACTTAGGGTGCTGATGTGGGGTCGGAACACTTCTCTCCTCAAGGAGAAGCTCCAGACTTGGAGTTCCCTGCTGGTTGCCGGTCGCCGCACGGGGGGCGGGGGGACGGGGAGGGGTAAGGTTCACGGCAAGATTGTGTCCTCCCCTCCCCTCTTTGAGGTGATTTTCTTCTCGTTTGCCCAATATGTAGTCATTGTTCAACTAGCCTTTTCGTTATCTTCAGAGGAAATTCTTTTCATACACAGCTGTGGACTCGGTATGTCTGTGGGAGGAAGTGAATTCAGGATCTTCCTATGTCGCCATCTTAAACTGGAACCATCAAGATTATTTGAGCGCATGCGCGAACGCAATTCCCTCTTTTCCGGTTACTGCGGCGCGAAGAACCTTGAGCAGCAAAGTCTCCCGCGACACCCTGTACGAGGCGGTGCGGGAAGTCCTGCACGGGAACCAGCGCAAGCGCCGGAAGTTTTTGGAGACGGTGGAGCTGCAGATCAGTCTGAAGAACTATGACCCTCGGAAGGACAAACGCTTCTCGGGCACCGTCAGGCTTAAGTCCACTCCCCGCCCCAAGTTCTCCGTATGTGTTTTGGGGGATCAGCAGCACTGTGATGAGGCCAAGGCAGTGGGTATTCCCCACATGGATATTGAGGCGCTGAAGAAACTCAACAAGAATAAGAAATTAGTTAAGAAGTTGGCCAAGAAGTATGACGCCTTTTTGGCCTCAGAATCTCTGATCAAGCAGATTCCACGAATCCTGGGCCCAGGCCTGAATAAGGCTGGCAAGTTCCCTTCCTTGCTGACCCACAATGAAAACATGGTGGCCAAAGTGGATGAAGTTAAGTCCACCATCAAATTCCAGATGAAGAAGGTGCTGTGTCTGGCAGTGGCTGTTGGCCATGTGAAGATGACAGATGATGAGCTTGTGTACAACATCCACTTAGCAGTCAATTTCCTGGTGTCCTTGCTCAAGAAGAATTGGCAGAACGTCCGGGCTTTATACATCAAGAGCACCATGGGCAAGCCCCAGAGCCTGTACTAAGAACACATTTCAAAAAACCCCATGGCTCCCCTTTTAAAAAAAAAAAAAAAAAAAAAACTGGAACCATCAAAAGGTATGTGCCTTTCATATTTTCTTCTATGACTTCATAATTTTTCTATTAATTTCTTTAACCCTCAAGAGCATATTTCCATAATTGGTTAAGGATCTATTTCAACCTTTTCCCATAGACACAATTTGTTGTTGAGTAGTTTATATAACAAGATATTGATACAGTCTTTTAAAATTGATATGAATAGCCATCTTTTTCATATACTCAATTCCAAGGTCAGAAGAGATATCTTGGCTAGAGACACAAGGTCGGGAGAAGTTGGCATTTACATGACATTTGGGGCTTGCAAGTAAAATCAGTCTCCTGGGGGTAATATATAGAATAAGAAGCGGTCTAGGAGGAGACTGAAGATACAATTGAAGGAGGACAGGCAGAGATGTGATGTCTGCTGCATGTAAGGTCCTCGGAGGAGCCATATTCCTACCCTAGGAGGGTATAAAAGGCCCCTCGGGGCACAGGATCTCACCTCCAGATTTCTCTCAGGTCACCCCTACTGGTTCCTGTGGTTCCACTTTCCCCCTTGATATCCCTCGGTCTCTCTGACCAGCATTAAACTCCTTTCTAGCATCATCTGTGGGAGGAGAGATCAGTTCTTACAACCAGGGGGCACTGACATGTCATACATGCAAGCTAAAAGTCATAGAGAGCCGGAACCATTTCACACAAATGCACAGCTGTCCTTCCCAAAATGCCAATAGCCTTTTCTGCTTTGAAAACCCTTGGAAGAGAGATCAGTAAGGAAGCAAATGCAAATCTACTGAAGAAATGATGAAGCCTTAAGCCAGAGCAGTGGCAAAGGATCCAGAGGAGGGCATGGGTATGAGGAATATTTATGAAGTAAAACCAACAAGACCAAGTCTTGGTTGGTTGACCCAGGGTAAGCAAGAGGGAGGAGTCAATGAGGATTCCAAACATTGTAGTTTGGGCAGCCGAGGGGCTGAGTATTTCTTTTTTTTTTTTTTTTAAGATTTTATTTATTTATTTGCTAGAGAGAGAGAGATCATAAGCAAGGGAGAGTGAGCGAGGACACAAGCAGGGGGAGCTGCAGGCAGAGGGAGAAGCAGGCTCCCTGCTGAGCAAGGAGCCCGATGGAGGACTCGATCCCAGGACCCTGGGATCATGACCTGAGCTGAAGGCAGACACTTAACCGACTGAGCCACCCAGGCGTCCCAAGGGGCTGAGTATTTCATCAAGATAGAAATACAGAAGCGGGTCTGGGTAGGTAGGAAATGATCAATTCAGTTTGGAACATGGTGAATTTGAGATCCCTGTGGGAGATTGTGTGGGGATGCCCAGCAAGCCAGGAGTCTCTGGACATGTGTGAAACATACGGAGAAAAATCTCACACAAGAGACTGAGAGGGAAGAGCCAGCTTTAGGAAGCACCCAGGGACTAGTAGCATCTGGGGGAAACAACCCGCCAGCACACACAGACCCCTGGTCATTCTAGGTCAGCCATGCTTCCCCACTGAAGCCTCCTGTGGCCTTGAGGACCCACTGCACAGATAGTCCGTGGCAGATAGTCCTGGCTGCCCCAGGACCAGCACGCCCTTCCTGGCGTGAGCTGGACCAAACCTTGGCAAATGCAAATTTAATAACACTGGAACCTGCATAGCATGTCTCTCCTGGGGGAAATAGCAAGGGGAGGAAAGATAATAAAACCAACTAATCAGGTTCCATCCCACGTGGAGGGGTGGCTGGGGAGAGGCATTTAAACCACAAACCCTTCTCATTTATCTCTATCTGGGAGATACATAGGATGCAGATCATAATTTTTGTCAATATCTCATAAAGTCCTCAACAAACACAGCTTCAAGCTCCCCCTACCTACACATTGCTGCATCTAACTCCTCCTGCAAGAGAACCCTGGGGCTGCCACAAATCGCATCACTGCTGCTTCGTGGACCTCACATTCTCATCCTTAATCCTTCCTGGGATGTGTCAGCAATGCTGAGTCCAAGGGGGAAGGATTCTCAGAACATTGCTCCCAGCAGAGAAGGACTGGCCTGGAGCCAGCTGTCAGGCCATCATCTGTAGGTTAGAAATGTGCCCACCTCTGAGTTCCTAAGAAGTCTACTCAATATTTTCAGGAGGATAATTTCTTGGTTCATTTCTTTTGTTCCTTTCACTTGTTCACCCCATGAGGGATTATTTCTAACATGTGCTACTGGTATTTCTGGGTCCCCAGCTCCCCAGGTACCAGGACGGCGAGCTGTCACACTGAGAACACACAGCCCGGCTGGCCTGTGTTGTCACCTGAGTGGCCACTCTCTTCTTCCCTTGGGAAAGTGAGAGGGAGACAACACAACCCAAGTCATGGTCTTCTCAGATCTTGTCTTGGTTTATTTACTTAGTTGTTCAATCTGAACATTTTCTTCCTTTGTAAGATTATCAAGACAGATGTTGTTTTCTTGTATACTTCCTGCTCAATTCATTTTCTGTTACAGTTTTAGCACCTCACATGCATCTCTGCTAATTAATATCAAGATATACAAATACAGTAATTTCCTCCCAAGGATTCTACACAGATCAAGCAATCATTTTTCCCCCCAACTTCAATTTTGAAAAGTAATATAGCATCTTATTTAGCTATTACCAAAAAAACCACATGACATCATTGACACCCATCATAATGAATACTTGGTGTAAAAATACTTGCTTGAGATTCCCTCGGGTTTGGTTTCTTGAGGGCAGAAGCATGAACTCTCAGTCCTAGCAGAATTGCCAGTCTGTTAGCATCTCAGTATATATTTAATAAACTGAATGAAGAGGAAATAATGAATAGATGATGGAATAACATAAAGAGCTCTGAAATATGACCCAGCTTGAGGAGCAGGGGCCTTCTGAGCTCAGAACTGAATGTGGTGTTCTGCTGTAGAGATCAGTCCTTATTCAAAGCCATTCTGGGGCGACTCTGCTGAAATTTGACAGCAGGCTGGTGAAAGGACAATTGTAGGCTCTGTGAGGAAACTCTCACCACATTCTGAGACAGAGGACATTAGCACCATCTCGGGGGCACCTGAAGTATCATCCTTGAGATTTGGGGAAATGGAGACCCCTCAGGGACCCTTCCTGAGTGAGTCATCCCAGTCCCAAGTAGTAAGTCCAATAATATATAAGGAGTTTTAGCTATCCCTAACAGGAGCATTTATGCCACAGTTTCAAACACATAATCAGCTGAATTTGATGTGTGACTCCAGTGGTTGCCCATAAAGCTCGCTCAACTTCGGATCCATTTTGTAGAACTAAATTAACAACGAAGTTGATGGAAAATGTATGTAAAAGGTAGATTTTACTCCTTATTTATGTTTTCACCTTTCCTATAATAGGTACTATTGGGAGGGATAATCCTCCACAAGTCTCTGGAGCTCCTACATGTCTTACTGGGTATGCTCTGACTGCTCTTTATCCAGATCATTACTCAGGATTGAGTTTGCAGTAAGCAACCTTGAGGGATAAGGTCATGTTTCACCAGGACAAAGAATAGGCTTGTTTACTGTTTGCTAAAAAAGTAGAGGATTCACCAAGTTCACTATTCCTCAGGTGCAAAGCAAACCCATTGCATGTGCACCATCTGTTTGTGTCCATGGTATCACCCATGTGGGATGGGGAGGGGGCAAAGGGAACTTTGCAAACATGTGGATGCATGAGCAATAAAGTCCTTTGTCTCTGGCCAGCAGCCTTGTGTTTTCTACCAGTATCCCTGAAACAGCAACAGGCTCACTTACTTTTGCTGATAAGTAGGGTAAAATCAAATCCCACTTCCCTCAAGTATGTGTTACTTTTGTGATAGCAAACCAATAAACATTATTATAAAAATGATCCTTCTCTAGCAACTTGTTACTTTCCTTCCTTGAGTCTCTAGTTAACATTGATTAAAATGCAGTGATATGTTTCTATAAACAATTGCCTAGGACAGAAAATGGGAGCCTAAGTCATTACATTTTATGACTATTTCCCTTAAGATTAGAAAACATATTACTCAAGCTAGTATTCCTCAAGTCTCAGCAAAAATCAGTCTTCTAGGGCGCCTGGGTGGCTCAGTCGATTAAGCGTCTGCCTTCGGCTCAGGTCATGATCCTGGGGTCCTGGGATTGAGCCCCACATTGGGCTCCCTGCTCCGCGGGAAGCCTGCTTCTCCCTCTCCCACTCCCCTTGCTTGTGTTCCCTCTCTCACTATCTCTCTGTCAAATAAATAAATAAAATCTTTTAAAAAAAATTCAGTCTTCTAGTAAAACTAATTCTTCTGGATAGTCTGGGGCTGATCCCTGCAGCACCCCTCCCTTCCATGATTGGCATCTTGCAATGATTTCCCCATCCAGCCTCCTATATGCCTAACAGTGGGCAAGGGACTCTGCCCACACATTGTGCATTCTTCCAGACCCAGGCCCCCCTTCTTCAGTAACAGCTAGATCTACTCTTTCTAGAGCCCAGGCGGGGGGTGGGGGGGTGGGGGGGACGACGACACTTCAACCTCTCTTCCAAACAGAGGTCTCTCTCCTTGTCTTCCCAGAGAGAAGCATGATCTCCTCAGGGTCCTAAAACCCTTAAGCTCTGGATTTCCCTGGGAGGTGGAAAGAGGGGAGGCGAACTCACATCTTTAGACCTACAAAGGAGGCTTGCCTTCCAGTGGGGGTGGGGGAAAAAAGCACTAAGACTAATTAGCTGTAACCCAGCAAGTGACTCTGTAATATCTGTGCTCAGTGTTTTCAGGCCCTCAACTCTGGGGGCTCCTGGCTGGCTCCCTCAGTACAGCATGACTCTTGATCTCAGGGTCGTGAGTTCAAGAAAGAAAAATCAATCCCTCAACTCTCATACGTTCTCTAAAAATGTACTGATTAAGTTAACACTAGCAATGTGGCTTCTTACTAAATGGTGCTCACTAAGGTTACCATTCAACTCTGGAACGATATCAAAAGCCAGCAGTCAGCTTGCTCTCAGCAGACAAGCCAGGACTTTGGTGC